GGGATTTCAGACTTGATCTGTTACCACATTATACAAACCCTAACTCGGCGAATCGGATCAGAGGTGTGGCTCGGCGGCAACATACATACATATATATATATATATATATATATATATATATATATATATATATATATATATATATATATATATACTTTTTCCGACATATAAACGGTAAATCCTTATTTCTGCTACATTACTCGTTTTATATTTTTGTTATATCGATATTGTAGGCGTTTCGTGGTTGCTCAGTTGATCTTGTTATATCGTTTTACATTTGGTATACCGTTGCACTTATGGCTAGCAACGACCTTGAGCCTGATCTTGAACCGTCCGTTCCGACGGTCTCCCTAGCCTTCCCTGTGTTTTTCATCGATGACCCTCAACTCTGGTTTCATATGTTAGAGGCAGAGTTTGAAACACAGAATCACAAGCGAGCGTACCCGTTGCATGTAGACTTTTGGTCTTCTTCCCCGTGACGTTGCTACCCAGATACGCGGCGTAATATTCAATAACTATTCGTACACAACCAAGAAAGAAGCGGTGGTCTCTAGTCTTTTGCCGTCAGAATAATCAAGGCTAAAGCCGATGATCCAAGGAACAGAGTTAGGTGGTAGGGAGCCCTCCGCGTTACTGAGAGAAATGCAGCAGCTGGCAGGGCAACTATTAGAGGAAAAAGTCCTCAAAGAGTTGTGGGTACAGCGATTACCAGCCAATATTCAAGCACTGCTTGAGGTTTCTAGCCATCTTAACCTCACAAAGACGGCAAAGCTAGCCGACGGTATTATGGAACGGTACCATTCACAAATTGCTGCCGTAACGACCTCGAGTAGTCTCCGGATCACAGCTCCTACCTCAGGAACACTATCCGAACGCACTCTGATGGCTGCTTTCGAGCGGGCTTTCAGACTTTTTTTCCACTCCCAGTCGTTCCCACTGCAGAGACCATAAAACGTATCACAACTCTGACCGACGTGAACGTCTCAGAAATCCTTAGCCAGACCGCCTCATTAGTCCATCTCGATCAAAGTACAGTCGATATTACAAGCCGTTTGGGGAGGAGACCCGGGGTTGCGAAGTCGGTTGCACCTTCCCAGGTGCGAAACAGGGAAACTAATATCCCGACGCGTTCCGACGACTAACGCGGTCGGCAGCCATAATAGCAGCCGTCTGTTGCATGTTCGAGATGTAGTTTCCAATAACCTGTTCCTAATTGACACCGGTGCAGCAGTTAATGTCATTCCAAAGGAAGCGGGTGATGCAACGATCCCATCAGTCCAACAACTCCGTGCTGCCAATGGCACTCCTATTGCTACTTACGGGCGTAAGTCACCCACTCTCAACTTAGGCCTACGTCGTACCTTCCGTTGGGTGTTTCTAGTAGCAGACTTCCTCTATCCCATACTAGATATCGATTTCCTTGACCATTTCGACCTCTTGGTGAATGCACGATGCCGGAGAGACGTCGACCGACAAACTTCTCTTCCCCTAACCGGTTTGTATTAATCCGAGAATCACATCAAGCCCTTATACATCAAACCTCAGGCCGAACGCCCCTAAGCAGACCTCCTTTCAGCTAACTCGGCAATGCTAAGGCAATCTGGACTTTTTCCCGCGGTGACCACCAACATCACCCACTATGCTGTCACTTAAGGACCCCCAGCGACGTGGTCGGCTAAATGCTGAGACAAACCCCATAATAAAAAGACACGGTAAAAGTGGGTTATGGGGGAACATTCACTTTAGAACCTGTTTATTGATCCTGCTTTTAAGGAGGAAGAGGTTGTGAATGGGTTGGAAGGCAGAACAAGGGAGAGTGTCCCATAATTTAACGGTCCGGATGAAGGAAAAAGAGTGAAAGATAGAAGTACGACATCTAGCGATAAACTTGGTAAGGGTGACCACTTGCATGGGTGAGTGATGATCGAGAAAATGTTTTGAGGAAAGGAACCGCTGAAGCAAGCTCAGAAGAGAAAAATCCAAAATCGCACCGGCAGAAGTGGGACAATGAAGCAACAGCCCAATGATGGGCTAGTGACTGCAGGCTGGAGGTTAAAGAAGAGTCGTCGATCAGCCGGATGGCCTTTCGCTGAAGACGAAGAAGAAGAGAGGTAGACGAAGCTTCCCCCCTTTCGTGACAGCATTATTCAAGTGCGGGATGGGTTTGAGCTTTCTACAGCAGAAGATAAGCTGGTATGTAGAAGCCTCTGGAGCAATATTAAAAAAAAACTTTTCCTGCAGCAAGGGAGGCAAGCTGAGTTATGAAAACGGATCAGCATAGAGAAGTTATAGATAAGTCAAGAAGAAAGATAGAATCCGTGGAATGCAGTACAGTTGAATCAAAGAATAAGTGATGTTTCAAAGTAACTGAGAGAAGAGAAGTTTTGGTTGTGTTAAACGCAACTTGATTGTGGGATCTCCAGTAGGAGATGTTCGAGGTCTGACTCTAGAAATGCACTGATTGCACTGCGGGTACGATCGACGTTGGTTTTGGCATGGCATGGAGTGCGGTAAAAAAGGGAAGAATAAAGGGTGGCTTCATTGACAAAGGAATGGGTTGGGTTAGACGTAGTGGATAAAAGACGATTAATGCATAGAAGAAAGAGGGTGGGCACAAATGCTGAACCTTGGGGAGCTCCAGCACTCACAAGAAACGACTCGGAAAGAACCCCATCAACTCGGAAGAAAATGGTTCGTTTATTGAGGAAATCTGATGTCTACAATACGAGAGCGGAGGAGAACCTGAAAGTGGACAGTTTCGCTAGAAGAACTTAGTACCAAACTCGGCCAAACGCTTTAGAGATGTCGAGCGAGACCATGTGTGTTCCTCCGTGGTTGCGGGGTGCACCCGACCAGGACTAGGAGACGAGATAGCCAGGAGATCACGGGTGGAACGACGAGGTCGGAGTCCGTACTGGCGATCGCTCAGCAGTCCTTTGCGTTCAAGAAACGTACGCAGTTGGTCGGATATGACTTATTATGGTGTCCGGCTCAGACTGTCACGCGCTCTACTCTAACGATCAATTAATATCTCTCTCATGCATGGGCATACGCCCGTTGATGTTTAATCATTCTTCAGCCCGGTCCTTGTTGATTGATCGATCTTGCATGGTATCGACTGACCTCGCTTGGCCTGTGCCGAATGAACTGACGGCTTGATCGGGAAACTGTTTGTGACGCAGTTCATTTACTTATGCACTCGTCAGCTTGCTTGCTGCTTGGTCGCCAGCTACGGCCGAGTTTTGTGTTTGCATTCATGCACATAAATGGAATGCAACAGTCACGTGTTCTACTACTAATAACGAACACAGCACCCATCACCCACGGAGACATAAGTGTTTTGTAATTTGTCTTCTACAAGTGGAATCAATTGATCATTGATAATCCGTAGAAGCGAGTGGGTTTGTCAAAATCATCAGGAGTGAGTGAATATCTAACGAGTTCAATCTAAGATTCTGGGGTTAGCACTCTGTCTCTCTTGTTGTTTAGAAGCCAAACACTACTCTAACCTAATCAAGACAGAGGTAATACGACTGAAGGTGTCATTCGCCACACAACGATTCAGAACCAAGAATCCCAAGATTCTATGGCACGGTATTAGGCTACTTTGTGGACAGAACACTAAACCCAGCAATGGTGACATTGATTTGTACCACGAAGGACTCCCTACACCCGAACAGATAGTGTAACAGGGAATGCTGGGGCGAGGGAACGGCGCGAACATCAAGGCGAACGAACGAACCAAACGAGGGCCACAGACGAAAGAACAGGTGGCGAATATGTCGGAGGCTGCCCAAAGCAGGCAAAAAGAGGCATACAGACGACCAGAGAGGAAGCAGCGGGATCTCCGGCAACCTGCAATATAGCTCAGGTGAAGGGCTGCCGATCGAGCCGTCAACTGAGACAGTCGGGCCAATCGAAGGGAAATGACGGGCAAGAGAAGCAAGCCATCGGCCACAGGCAAATGGACAGAACGCAGCCGAAGCGCTCAAGCAGCTGCAATAGCAATCTTGGTGCCGCGCAGTCAGGAAAAAGGCCTATATAAGCGACTGTATGTGTTCCATGACTTGGCTTGTGTGACAGTGGGAATGCAAGTATACTGCCGTGTGTTGTCGTCCTTGTTACAATAGGAGGCATGGCAGCTGATCCCTCCCGGAACTATTCAAATTGCGGTAGCAATAAGACCAAAGCTGCGGAATAGCACGTTATTTGTATTGTAAAACTTATTTGCATAAATATATCAATTCCAAGCAAATAAACGGTAGGTTAAAAGTTGGCCAGTCAAATCCAGCATTTGCTGTACCTGTCCTTGGTGATCCTTACCGGTTAAAGCTTCTTAGCGTACGTAGCCACAAATGTGCACCTGACCGTACCACGTGTGACACTCGTCGAATCACCACACAATCCTAATGCTTTGTATATATATATATATATATATATATATATATATATATATATATATATATATATATATATATATATATATATTGATAGTAAGTAGTATGTTAACGTGTGGACAAAATTTCCCTGAAGCACACGGCCGGTTTGGCTGTTGTTGCCGCTCATTAGGTATGCGTACCCAGTACTCCTCTGCCCACTCGTCTTCATACTTGTACACTCCGATATTATATGTTCACTAGAATCTAATTTGGATCGTCTGGAGTGTGAATGGGTACTCTTCATTGAAGAGCCCACAAATGAATCACAACTGTGATTTCTCATAGTTATTCGTGTCTGGGTCACTGCTAACCCAACGAACAACGAGGCTGCATGTGCAATATATATATATATAAACAGATGCTTGGCCGGTTGGGTGAGAACTGAATCAATTGAAAAACTGTTACGAAAGATTCAAGTAAACCGTACCCTCTTCAATAACCCAGCGAAGAGCTGCAATCAATATCTCTTTTTCATTACTGTAATTAACAACAAATATAGAGAAATAAATAGAAAAGTACCATTTATTGCATTTCCGGGAGAAATTCATTAAGGGAATCAAATTATAGGGGTCCAAAGCAGTACGACTCGATACATTTCATTCTGTTACAACAGTCTAAGTCGCGACTGCACGGTTGCCAACGCCCACGGCAGCCAAACATTCGTATCTGATTGTAATACGATAAACGTCCACACTCCGGATCACCATAACATCCATAGTCACGGTGACAACCTTGACCTGAAATTAGCCGGGAAAACAGCAAAGGCGAACCGAACGAGTTTAATTTGGATAATGATAATATAAAGTGGTCACGTAACAGATGAACAGCAAATTGCCCTTCAGATCGCAACCACAAATTGTTAAGGAATGTCAAGTGCTTTACGAACAGCATTTCAAATGAAATGGTTTACAGTAGTAAAGATAATGCTAGTGTTGGTAATAACAGTATGATTTATCTCATTCAACTCACCACTGAAACCTGTGGACGTGTTCGTCATTAACGGAGAACGCAGTGCGTAACGTGATCCGTCTATTAACGTATCAGTAACCACGTACGTAAGTGAGCTTGCAAGCAAGTAAGTGAATCATTTACGGACAAGTCCAAGCAGCACGTGCGATCGAGTGCGATCAAGTAGGGCCGCTGAGTAGCAACGAATCAACCGGCATGTATGGCTCAGGGCCAAAGTCTGATTAGTTAAAAGAAGAAGCCGTCCGTGGGATGGGTAAAGTCAAAGTGATGTGCGTACGTGCGTGCATGCGTGTGTGTGACTAGTCACGTAAGCGAACAAGCATGAATCAATAGCCAATTAGACTAGAGTCATCCTGTTATCGATCCAAACGCCAATGAAGCCACACAACACTGCACATTTGTGGATTCATTCAGGTTGCCAGGACTCATCCCCAATGTCCGTCTACCGAGTCCTGATTGGGACTGGAAACTGAGATGAACGATAGTGAGTTGAACAACTTACCACCGAACTATTTGGACTGGTTCCCAACATTTCCTTCACCATCAAAGCTGCGTTTTACGGTGCTTTCCAGAGATGTTACCTTAATATAATTTCTTACTACTTCCATTCAAATAATAATGATGATACTAATAACTATAATAGTAATAATAATAATATTGTTCAATAAGTTTTCCAATAATTATGCCGAAATGATATAATATTTCGCGATGAGAGTCACAGGCAAATAAAGGCTCCCGGCATGAACATTGTCCTTATTTTGGAAAAGCACCGTTATTTCATTCCTGTTGGCAGTAATCAGCAAAGTATGTGTGACTTACAAAACTGATGCAACTAGGCTACTCCAGCTGGTTTTTGGAAGCATCGTTGTTACATATTCTTACTCGAGAGAAGTCAGCAGTGTTACATATTCGTAACAGTATTTTCCTTTCAAGGTCACTGAATGGTTAGCATGGAGGAAAGGCTTTGCAGACAGATAGATCGGGAGACGGTGATGTTATTTTGTACGAATCTTAATGCGGTCCATCGAGTTCTAGTCCCAATTGGCACTTCTATCATGACAGGCTAGCTTCAGTCCTCATCATGGACCAAGCAGCTGAGAATGCGTTTATTAGTGTAGAAAACGGTCGAGTTGATCTAATTGACTGTTACATTCACTTTCCTCTATTATATAGTAGTGCTACCATATTTAAAGTAGAGGTTCACAGTTAATTAAATGCTGACAAGCGGGGGAAGCGACCAGTGGTGGGACATGAGGCTCAGAATCTCACTCTGATGATGACCACCGCTGGTCAGTCCTTTAAAAATGTTCACTAAAAATAGCTTTACATGTACTGACCTGAAAATTCCTGCTGTTCGAGGACCTATCAAATGGAAAACTCAAATAAAACTCATTCCAAATTCAGCCAGTTGGTTTCAGCGTAGGAAAAATAACAAAACACCACAGACAGACATACTTATTGAGAGGGCGTATTGACTTACAACGAGCCGCCATGGACTGACATGGAACCAGGCATAACAGGATAACAAAACAATGAAATTGGAACAGCATGCTGATACACTATACTCGAGAATGGGTGTACCACAGGAAGTGTTGACCCTATTTATACGACTCAGCGGACCATCCCTATCCGACCAATATTGACGAAGCAATTTGGTGACCTTGTACGAAAAAACAGTCACTTCTGTCAAGGTTTCAAATTAGAGGTCAAACAAGCACGTGCACATTCCGAAAACATTCCTTGTAGGTCATTCATGTGACTCTGTGAACACAGGATGCACGATTTTTGTGTCCTCGACACAGTTATTTCAGAGAAACAGGAAACCGTAAGAATGCAGTGTTCCGAACTGGGCTGAATTAAACAACAGAGGTGAAAAAACGGAAACCCAACCCACCCCGTGCCCGTCCTCGACGTTCTCACCTCAATTAGAGGCTTTGAATGTAACTATACCATTTTCCGTTGCTCCGAATTTAGTTTAGATCCTTCCACATGTGTATGTCTGTTCACCCATAAAGTGTATTACTTAACAGGAAGGGATATAATCGGATAATAATAATAATAATAATAATAGAAACACTCGGATAAACCAAAAAAACGAGGGGTTTCATCATCCCTGGTCATGCCGCGATGTCATCAGAAGATCATCATAGTGGGCTTCGAGCCCTTCCGTCCCGGGTTCGAATCCTGACTCCGCCACCGGTCACTCTCCAATTCGTAGCCTGTAACCGGCTGCAAATTTTTTTCTGAAAATATTGTATCATAACGTCAGGGCGTCACGAAAACCAACCTGAAGCAAATTTACCAACAGCTTTGAAAGTGCCAAGCCGAGCCAACTAATCAACACACCTCCACCCAAGCAAGTGGCAAAACCAGCCCAGTGAACATTAAAAACACCAATCCGACGACACCAGAGAGAAATATCTCAGTCAGCCGTGCCCGTCAAGGCATCAATCCTATTGGACGAGCGCGTTCAAGATTTCTGTACCTGTGGTGTGACTAGCACACAAAGGCTATTGGCACGTTAGAATATCGTCTTCTGTCTTTTTATTAGCTTGCTGGATTGATCGGAGTTACGAGCAGAATTTGCGTGCGTAGACATTCCTAGCGGACAACTAGTGCATAGGCGACCATAAAATCCAGGAGTGAAACGCTATCGACACGACACGTTAAATAAAATGAAATAAATGAGAAGTAAAAAAGATAGCAATGAGAAGTTTGCAACTTAAACTTTAAGCCCAGTGATCAGGAATCTACGAAATCCATCAACCTGAGCCACGGACAGCATCATTATTAAAAGCCAAGGAGTGTGAAGTGTCAGAAGGACTTCTAGATTTCCTTTAAGAAGTGATAGTTAAATCAATGATATTGGTCAAGTATTTCGTAGAATTTCAATGTGAAATACAGCCGTCGGATTGGAATTCTGAAATTCTGTTCGCATACTAAGGTGAAAATCATCATACAAGTAATTATATTCTACCCGAACCTGGAATGTCCAATCAAGGACCTGCTGTCTGATGAATTGCTGTGAATTACCATTGTTTGTTTTAAACAAGCATACACAAGAAATGCCCTTAGTTAGATAATATGATTCATCATGCAGTATCAATGCTCAACTCATTTTTGTAAGCACCTTTGACGTCACTGTATTGTTGTTTTACCTTTACTATGAATCATCATCAGCGATTCCGGGGCCTACTCTTGGATGTTCGAACTTCTGTTCTGGTGACGGATAGTAATGGCAGTTGGTTTTTGTGTTTTTCCCATGTCAACCGAAAAAACCCCATCACATTGCCCCCTTGAAATGAAGATGAACGACAATGGTATTTGGAGGGTTATAGAAGACGTTCGGTTAGCGAGGTGGGAACTTGTCTTCTATGGGGTCTCGAAGTGTACTACAGACGAAATTCCCTGGATCGGCTGAATCGAGAAGACTCAAGTTGGTAGACAGATGTGATAATGTATTCTATACATCGTGGCATCGACATGGTGTCGTGCACCGTGCGTTGACTATCGATAACGCAAGCCAAGGAAGTGGGACGATATATCCTCTGGTTCCACAGTAGTGCATGTAATTTGACGAAGCCTCACTTTCAAAGTAGTTCGATAATGACCACAAATTCTTGGAGTATATCCATCAGACTTCAGCGGAGTAATAATGAGCGTTTCCCGCTTGGATTACGAAATGGTTCCAAGGATTTTTTTGGCAACCAAAGTACCGAGAACTTTCTTCACATGTTCAGGAAGTCGGTTGGATAGCACAACGTTTCAAAAATGAAGGATATCCATCTACATCCAATTTTACAGTTGTCTCCACTCCACCGGAGGCCTTGGAGGACCGTAAAATTAATTTAGAAAACGAAGCCCGTTTCTGTGATAGAATTGATACAGAAATGCCATCGTCTTTAATAACCTTCTACGCAAGTAGAGACGGACCAGTTTCAGTGACGAGGCAGGTACAGTCGACGGAATGTCCAGTTGCATCTATATGAGAAGTATTACATGAGCGCAAGGCAGGTAAGGTATGTCCAAAGGTGCCCTGTATAGTAGTATCAGTCTGGTGCGTTGGAATATTAAGAATAGCACGACGTAAAACTGAAATACGAATGAAAGACTTGACACTACCAGTATCCACAATGAAATCGTGTTTAATTGTGCCACCAATGAGAAGTTAAGGAGTTACCTGTCGGTGAGCAGTAACGACAACGGAGAGCTCAATGTTAAAAAAACCCTGAGAAGAACCAGATCTGGATTTAGAAAGGTATGTGGATGACTGTCTACACAATTTGAATGCGACCCAGTTTACCACATCTGTGGCATCTGGCATTGCGGATGCAACAGGTTAAGCTGGATTGAAGGTTAGCACTAGAATGGCATTTACAAAGTGAACTGTTCTTGGAAGATCGACGGCGTGTGAAGTTCTGCACCCGGGAATCCGTATTTGGCTGCACCTTGGACATCAAAGAGAAAGACTGCACGTCGGATGACTTCTTGGATGAACCACACAGCATGACGGAAACAGTAGTATCTGTATGGTTATTCATGTCCTGGTATTGTTCAATTCTCTCCTCAGATACAAGCTCGGCTTCTGGTTTCACTCTTCGCGTGTCGAGTGATTTGGTGTCCAGTGCTCGTGGTCAGGCTGGCGTTGGCATAGCTGTGAGCTTGAAGGCTGAGTGTGCACTACGCGACTGAATTCCATTCAGCAGCCGTCTGTGAGCAATTAGGTTGAATGGTTCTGTGCTTGTCAACAGCACTAGACTGAAGAGCCGATGCCTGTTTGTCGTTTATGTGTATGCTCCAACTGACTGTAGCTCTCCTGAGGCCAAGGACGAATTCTACCAGGATTTGTCTTGACTGATCCGCAGTATGCGCTCTACGGATATCATGGTTGTTGCTGATGATTCCAATACTGAAGTTGAAATCTTAGAGGAGACGGAGAGGAACATGGGAGGTCGATTTGGCCTTCTAGCCGATCGAATCAATAACGGTGATTGACTCATTCAACTATGTTCCGACCATGGACTATTC